GCTGACCCTGGCAGACTCAGTGTTGGGTGCGGCTGACTGAACATTGGGAGCGGCTAACTGAACATTGGGAGTGACTAACTAAATACTGTGAATGCTAACTCAGCGTTGGGAGTGGCAAAATGAATGCTGACACTGGCTGACAGAATGCTGACACTGGCGGACTGAATGTTGACGTGGTAAAACTGGCGGGCTGGATGTTGGCAGCGGCAACATGGGAGTGTATTATGTGCAATGACGTCGACTATGATAACACACAAGCATGTCGTAAGAGTCCACTAACTGTGGGCTTCTTCAAAGTCAGAGTGCATCTGCCTGAGAGGCAAGGAACCAATAGTCTGCATACGGGTAAGACAGTTCTGTAAAAAGGATGCGTAAGCGGCATTCAGGTTCTGGAACAAGACTAAAGTCTAAAGGTGGACGAACAACTTGAAGTTTCCGCCGGAGAATCCAGACGGTAAACACTAAGAAGAAGAAACGGTCTAAAATTGGTATCGAGGTAAAGTCCTGGAAAGTAAAGGCAGCAGGTGGTGGTTATCCATAACGACCATCTAATTCCGATTAGTCAGTAAAAAATATATGTCTTGCATAATATGTTATTTCCGTATCCTTCACAGGACGTTGCAGAACCAACATTTTTTGACTGTTGTGGTTTTTCTAGACAAATTTTACGTTCAATAGTTTGTCATTGCTTTTGAACTGTCAGCTCTCGGTACCATTGTCGAAACCAACGCAAAACAAATTGTCCGCAGCTGGGATCAAACCCAGCAACCCGGCATTACAAAGCGCGTTCGCATGAAAAGGTTATATTAACCTTTACTGGAGCTTTATCACGTTGTTTTGTCACCCATGAAGAGAAGCTAAATTTCTCAGGGATTGATTATCAATTTCTCAGGGATTATCACACTTTCAGAGGTTATCACATTTTCGGCAGGCATCCCGGATGGGAAAAACCGGCAACGATAGCCAACCAAACAAATGTTCCGAAAATTGTTAACATAAATAAGTGAAGGGAATAAATTATGGGCGTGGATTCCTTCATACTTGTTGCAATGTTATAAAGTTTGCGGTGGGGTAGAATGTTAACAATATTACCCAGTGAATTATGTTACTACTAGCTCTTGAATACTGGCACCGGCTCAATCAATAGTAGGACAGATTAGATGAGTACTGGAACAGATTAACTGGATGTTGACACACGGTGACTGAATGCCGGGAGTGGCAAAACTGGATATTGGGCGTGAATAACTAAATACTGGGCGTGGCTAACTGAATGTTGACACTGGCGGGCTGAATGTTGGGAGCGGCTAACTGAACACTAGGAGCGGCTAACTGAACTTTGGGAGCGGCTAACTGAACATTGGGAGTGCCTAACTGAAAACTGGAAGCGGCTAAGTGAACATTGGGAGTGGCCAACTGAACGTTGGGAGTGGCTAACTGAACATTGGGAGCGGCTAAGTGAACATTGGGAGTGCCTAACTGAAAACTGGAAGCGGCTAACTGAACGTTAGGAGTGGCAAACTGAACATTGGGAGTGGCTAACTGAACTTTGGGAGCGGCTAACTGAACATTAGGAGTGCCTAACTGAAAACTGGAAGCGGCTAACTGAACGTTAGGAGTGGCAAACTGAACATTAGGAGTGGCTAAGTGAACATTGGGAGCGGCTAACTGAACGTTGGGAGCGGCTAACTGAACGTTGGGAGCGGCTAACTGAACACTGGGAGCGACTTACTGAATGTTAGGAGTAGCAAACTGAATATTGGGAGTGACTAACTGAATACTGTGAGTGGCTAACTCAGCGTTGTGAGTGGCAAAATGAATGCTGACACTGGCGGACTGAATATTAGGAGTGGATGGTTAAACGCTGTGAGTAGTTAAATGAATATTGGGAGTCACTAACTAAATACTGTGAGTGGCTAACTCAGCGTTGTGAGTGGCAAAATGAATGCTGACACTGGCGGACTGAATGTTGACGCGGTAAAACTGGCGGGCTGGATGTTGGCAGCGGCAACATGGGAGTGTATTATGTGCAATGATGTCGACTATGATAACACACAAGCATGTCGTAAGAGTCCACTAACTGTGGGCTTCTTCAAAGTCAGAGTGCATCTGCCTGAGAGGCAAGGAATCAATAGTCTGCATACGAGTAAGCCAGTTCTGTAAAAAGGATGCGGAAGCGGCATTCAGGTTCTGGAACAAGACTAAGGTCTAGAAGTGGACGAACAACTTGAACTTCCCGCCGGAGATTACAGACGGTGAACGCAAAGAAGAAGAAACTGTCTAAAATGGGTATCGAGGTAAAGTCCTGGAAAATAAAGGCAGCAGGTGGTGGCTATCCATAACGTCCACCTAATTCCGATTAGTCAGTTAAAAAATATATAAGTCTTGCACAATATGTTATTTGCGTATCCTTTACAGGACGTTGCAGAACCAGCTTTAGCATTATTTGACTTTTATGGTTTCTCTAGGCAAATTTTACGTTCAATAGTTTGCCATTGCTCCTGAACTATCAGCTATCGGTTGCATTGTCGAAACCAACGCAAGACAAATCATGACCGGCTCCAGCTGACGGGCCGTGCTGCTGACGTCACCGCGTCAGGCTAACGATGCGGTAACGCAGCGGTTCTCAAACAAGATATAAACTATTTTCGACAGTGGCAAGGAAAGACAACTTAAATTTTATCTTTAAGTATCTACATGCCTTCTTCATTATTTCACATTTTTAGCCGACTTTTCTTTATTACGCGGCAGCCCTGGCATACGCTCAGGACACCCCAGGCTGCCTCAGCACCCAGTTTGAGAAATGCTGCGTTAACGCATCGTTAGCCCGACCCGGTGACGTCAGCAGCACGGCCCGTCAGCTGGAGCCGGTCGTGATTAAACAGTAGGCACATTATAAGAACAGGGTCAGAATACAAGGTGTTATTATATCTTAAGGCAGAATAACGACAAGCTTGATCACTTTAAATATCTGCAAAGGTTGACTACACAATACAATTATAATAATTATTTAAAAGCAGACTTAAAATCTACGGAGCTTGGCGATCTTTACTTCTACAATCTTAAACAATTAAAATATAAGCTATGCATTACTGAACAACCAAACATAATTGATAGACATTGCTATATATTACTGAAAAGAAACACTCTTTATATCCCACTTATTACAGGATGACAGCATATTCTTGGTTAAATTATACTAATAAACGCAAAAAATGAGACTCGGCGCACGAACACGATGGGATTCGAAACTGTCACATCTCCGCTTCTCTCAATGTTGTGGGTTAGTTAGTTAGTTAGTCTTTCCTCTTGTGTCGAGTGCGGCACATAGGGCAGAGGTCATGACTCTCCATGCATGGCGGTTCGTTGCAATCCGTTGTAGGTCTTGAATGTTTGAGTGGCCCATGAGCGAGCCTTCCCTGATGATAGTTCTACGTAGGGTTTCCCTTGGTCTTTCACGAGATCTTTTCCCCTGTGGTGTCCAAATGAGGGCTTGGTAAGGAAGTCTTGACTTATCCATTCTAAGAGCGTGGCCGACATAGTTCCAGCGGCGTTTTCGTATAAAATTAGACACATACTCTTGCCTTGATTCTTGCCTTATTTGTGTATTTGTTCGGAAATCTGACCATTTGAAATTTAGTATTCTTCTAAGGCATTTATTTTCAAAACTGTCTAATTTTGTGTCTAGAGTTTTCGTTGATTTCCAGCTCTCGCATCCATAGGTTAGTACTGGAATCAGTATGTTGTGGGTAATTAGGTTTATTTCTCACGCTGTTTCGATGTGGTTTCTCCAGAACTAACCTTTCTGCAGATTCCTCATGTAATTTGTTCTCCAGGCTAAAGTTAGATATACCGACGAAATAATAAACGAAAGAAACATTGGACGAACAACACTAAGGAGTTCATTTTCCAGTACCCCTGCACGCCCTGGAGAAAATATCAAAAGAACGCTAACTACCAAAGAACCTCTGAAGCAATACTTGCCACTCTGCACGGAGTGTGCCTGTCTCCAGGCACGACACCGAGGAAAGACAAGTTATGTGGTTGTCACGGCTGATCCCGCAGTCTACTGTGGGATGGGAGCCTCGTTTGAGAGTTTGTGGACAGAGCAGACACACTGCCAGGTTAACAAGCATGTGATAAAAGGTGACAACTATGTATTTGCTGAAATCAGATGTACTGGGTCGGAAAGCACAGGTATGGAAGCCTAGCTGTAAATAATAATACAAGGTACTAACCACCAAGAGGAGGAGGAGGAGGAGGAGAAAGAAGAAGAAGAAGAAGAAGAAGAAGAAGAAGAAGAGGAAAAGAAAAAGACGAAGAAGAAGAAGAAGAAGATAAAGATGGTGTCACTGGAAGGTTTTAATTATGAACGTATTATGGCGCAACGGTTATAATCATACGGGTTATGTGGTGTGGTGATACTGGTCGCCTGCAGGAGGGAAAGATGACCTTTATAGTCATAAAACTGAGTGTTGCCTGCAACACTCATGTTCTGGAACAGGACTGCAGTCCAGAAGTGGACGAACAACCAGAACTTTCCACCGAAGTTTACAACTGGTGAACGCAAAGAAGAAGAAGAAGAAGAAGAAGAAGAAGAAGAAGAAGATAAACCGAAATTGCAGTTCACCTCAAAGTATGTGGCACCAAGAGTTGCAGTGATCAGAAATCACAAAGCGGAAAAGCCATTAGCACTCATTTGAGTCTTTTGTATTTGGCATGTAACTAAACTAGACAATAGATACTGTTATATACTTTGATATGTATGCTAGAATAACTATGCTAGGTGATGTTTATTTGCAGTCCTCCGTAACAGCGAATTTTGAAGTGATATACATTATGAGATTATGAAAAAAAAAAATACACGTTATTTTTTCATGACTTCTCTTCTAAAACAAACAAAATAACAATTTTGAAGAGATGAGACTTAATAATGCAACAGTGTTAGCTAAACATATGCAACATTTCATTACCGGGTTGATTTCCCCCCTTACACTCAGTTCTTATCTGAAGGAACTTGATCTGTAAAGAAAATTGTTTCTCTGTGGTTTTACCTTGGCCGAAGTGGTCTGCACTTTGCTGACAACGTCACAAAAGTTGTTTATCCGAGAGGCTAGCGTGGCCTCATCTTGTGTGTTCAGGTAAAACGTGGTCATGATGCCATCATCAACCTCTCTTACCCTCAGTCTTGGTTCTGAGCGACACTCACGAACCTCCTGGTGGATTTTGAACATCTCTTCTATCATGCTTTTATCCTTGGCTTCCCGGAGTTTGTTGGTCTTCTCCACCAACATCTGTCGCCGATCAGTGAGCTGCTTGGATTTTTCCTGCAGTTTGTTACGTTCCATTCCCGTCTGCTGGTGAACTTTTGCCACAAGAGCTTTCTCTCTTGCGTTTAATAGATCTCGCATTTTGGACACGCATGACCTCACTTGACCTAAAAGGTCAACTTTGACCAGTTCAACGTTTTTTACTACTGATTCCAGGCATATTAGTTTCTCTTCAAGGCAAATACTTTCGGCTTCCATTTCTGTAACAAGGTTGTCGAGAACAGGACTGTATTTAACCATAGCGTCTTCCAAATCTATTACAAGATGGCCGTCAGCTTCTTTATGGCTATTTGCTGTACAGTTTCGGCATATAGGCTGAATGCATTGATCGCAAAAGAAGTTGAGAGGAAGTCTATGTACAGAACAAAATGTCACAGTGTATCGGTCTGTGTGGCGAACAAAGTCCATAAGCTGCACGATCCTATGGTCAGTTGGAAGCTTCTTGACATTCTCGTCAGTGGCAATGAATGCGCCTTTGCAGACCGGACAGCTGATGATTACAGCACTAACTGGTATTGACAGTGGCAGGCAACGAAGGGGAGTCGGGTTAGTACTTCTCTGAGCTTTTGCCGCGCTGTAAAGTCGGTCAATGCAAGGCTGACAGAATGAGTGATGGCATGTTAGCATACGGGGAAGAGACACATTGGAAAATCTGGCTTTGCAGACGTTGCATCTGAGAAATCGATCTTCAAATCTGTCTTCGTCCAAAACCATGCTTCGTTTATTTAGTGAAAAGGACGAGGTTCTGGTATCCTCATCCATCAATACTGTGAAAAGAAATCATTACAACTGAATTTATTATCAAGTTTAAAAGAAATTAACACCTTTACTGCATACACATTCGATATGAGTGGTTGTTTTTTCCTTTTGTTTATACAATAATCTACTGAGCCTCATTACGTGGCAGTAATAACATATGATTATAAATATAAATACTAGAGCTAAAATTTATGTTACACTGATGCACTTTCATCTAATTTCTTTCAAATCTGCCAAATTCAATGTTTTTATGTGTCTGTAGTGTGCAATTATTTCTCATGGGCCTCTTTTTAACCACGTTTTAGCAGTACTTTGTCCCGCTATGCTTTCCAGTGGGTGCTGTATGGTAAATCAGTCAAAATCAACCCACGCTTTGTATATATGCCAATAATTTAGAGCCTCCCTTCCGTACTTAATTGTTTCGTGCTGTTTTTTTTTTCTGCTTGGCTCATTCCCTGTACTCCTGTACTCTCCAGTAACGTCACATTCCAAAACTGTCCAAGTTATTTTCTTTTTGTGTGACTAACTCAACCCATCCAGGCAAGACATCCCTTTACTTCATAACTGTAGGATGCCGCAATATAGCTTGTCTGTTGTTGAACAGGGTGTCTGGGCTTTATCCTAGTTGGATTCGGGTGCAAATAACGTTTTCCGTCCCAAACAAACATTTCACGTCGCCGAGCGAGATGTGGTGGCCATTCATTCATGCTTGCTTACCTTTCACTCTCGCTGGTCTATGTTACAGTGGTGTCACGTTGTGTTGTCTTCGATGCTTTCACCGGCGATATTGAGTGTTCTATATTACACACCAGAACATTTAGAACAGGCCCAAATCTCACCCCCCCCCCGACCCCCGTTACCTCACAGCCTCAGCAAAGAAGAAGCAGCAGCAGCACCCAATTTTTAGTAAATAAAGCAGAAAGTAACTGTAAATATATTACTTTTCATTCTTTTCAGTAATTTTCCACAAAGTGGTGCAAAGTTAATAGAAAGTTAATAGAAAAGAACATTGAATACAATAAGAACTTATTTGTGGCATTCGTAGACCAGGAGAAGGCATTTGACAGAGTCGACAGACAATTACTATGGAAAATAATGGCAAGATATGGAGTAAGCGAACACCTCATCGAAGTGTGCAAAAGTTTATACAGAGATTGTAGAAGTGTAGTTAGAATAAATCAGGGAACATCTCATCCTTTCACAGTGACATCTGGAGTAAGACAGGGGTGTGTCTTATCACCACTGCTGTTTATCACCTACATCGACAGTATATGCAAGAATGCCAAGCACATAAATGAAGATCTTAGTAAGATCAACGAATTACTCTTTGCAGATGACCAGGCCTTGATAGCAGATACACCCATGAAATTGCAACAACATTTAACATCCATGAATGAAGAATGTAAAACAAATAATATGAGAATCAACACTGAAAAGACAGAAGTAATGTCAATAGGAAAAAAGAAGACAGATCTAAACATAGCAATAGAATACAAAGACATTAAACAGGCATCTGAGTTTAAATATCTGGGAACTACATTTACCGAAGATGGGAAATTGGATAAAGAAATTGACATTAGATGCAGTAAAGCAAACCAAGTATTGGGACAGCTAGCCCCCCTCTTACAGCATAAGACAATCCCAATCAGCACAAAGAGACATCTTATTCAAAGCCTATTTATTCCAACTCTGTGCTACCAGTGCCAGACATGGTCACTCACAACAAACCATAAAAGAAAATTAGTAACCACGGAAATGAGATGTCTGAGAAGGGCTGTAGGAGTGACCATAAGAGATAAAATCAGGAATGAGATCATAAGAGAACAAGTCGGCACAGAACCAATTCTGGATTACATACAAAGACAGCAAGTGAAATGGTTTGCCCACTTAGAGAGAATGCCTTGTGACACCATACCATACAAAGCATACATGGAAAGAGAAGAAGGACGTAGAGCACGGGGTAGACCAAGAACAAGATGGAAGGATAACATCAGAGAAACTCTACAACAGCACGATGTGCCTATGGTCGAGGCAGCCAGAAGAGCTAGAAACAGAACCTTATATCTCCCTCGACACCCACAGCGGTAAAAGAGGAAGTGAAGAAGAAGAAGGTGCAAAGTGACTCTTTTAAGCCGCTGGCGGCTTTGAGATGTTTCAGGCTCCCATAGTGTTTGAAGACTTGATCGGCCCGTTATCTCGTCACGGTCAGCGTAGCTCTTACGGTTTTAGTTTGGTTTTTTAAGACTGGCCTGAACCTAATTGGTGATGTGGTCCGTTTCGCGCTTGTAGCTTTTACCTTCTAGATAACTGTTTAGTGTCTACTTTAGGATGGGTCATAAAAATCATGTTACTGAAACGTCATCATCATAATTCTTTCATGTAAATTATATCATAATATAATCAAAACCGTATTCAAACAATAGTAAGGATGTGGGGGGGGGGGGGGGGGGGGTGGGGGGGGTGGGGGGGGGGGGGGGGGGGGGCTACTTCTTTAGAATTCCGCAGCTCCGAAGTTAATTGTTCATTGCTCAATTTCTACAGCATTAAGCAAACTCTGAAGTTCACTGCTCCAGATATCACCAGCCTCTATACACCTCTGTATCTGGCTCTCTTCTTCCTGCTTATGACTCCAAGTGTTTGTATGTCTGTTTGGATATTAACTCTATACCATCTTCTTGCTGTATTTTTGTGTGTGGTATTTTTGGTTTACTTCTGGTGTAATACTACTCTCATTCAACTCTCTTGTGTACAAAGTTTTGTCTCTCGTCATCCGCCATTCTGTCTATATGTCACAGCCATTTCATGTTTTAACCCTCATGAAGCCAGCGATCACTGGTGATTCAAACTTATTATGAATTTCGTTGTTGCTTCTCATTCTCCATTTCCCGCTGTTTGTATGTTTGATCAGTTTTAAGATTGTTCTCACATAGGCCTATGTGTAGTGAGCCTTGAACTCTTTTAGCTGAATTCCAACTTTCAGAGCCAAATAAGAGAACTGGTCTTATACGCGTTTTATATGTTGTGATCTTGTGTTCGAATGAGAGTGCTGAACCAATGAACTATAACTAAACTTTAAAAAAAAAAAGGGTGGGTATTGCGCGTTAGTGAACACAATGTAAAAACGAAAACAAACAAGTAAAACCCACAGTGTGCTGTTGATGGGGTCATGTCTGGCTTCTTCCCAACGAAAGCATCCGACTCAAACTGTGCTGACTTAGCCATAGTGTATTTTGCTTGTGAGTTAGACACAGTCGGTCGCAATCGCCAAAAACTATTCACATCTCTGCAAAACGAGCTCACAATCAGTGACGTTTTGTAGACTTCCTATAGAAATACAGTAAATAAGAAAGAAATGGATAAAACGTCAATTGAAACAAATGTGGGAATTAGCAGTGACGTGATCAATACGTAAGAACAACATTATAATATGTCTCAGCTGCCTTATGCATGTGATGCATGTGCATGCTTTTGGATATGCCAAGACTGCAGTCTGTGTCAATTTTTCCAGAAGGAACAGTGATAGGCAGTCAGTGCGGTTTTCGTTGGCACCGGAGCGGAGCAACTATGTGGTGACGGAGGTTAAAACTGCGATTACCTGATTAAAATCGACCAGTGAGGAACATGATACTACTTTAGGAGATAATACTAATTCAGAAAATGTTAATCCATGTGGAGATTTTCCCCTGCTGACGAAGAGGGGAAATAAAATATACTGCTGAGCCAGAGACAACATGGATTAAGATGGACTCATGGGAACAAAATGCCATGGACCTTGTTGTGTGGAGAGGGCATATCAGGAAGGGAATGAGAGTGAAGGAAGAATGATTGTAGAAAAGATAAGAGCTGAGTATCTGAGAAAAAACGGATTAAACACAAACGTTGACAACGAAGGTCCTGAAATCCCATACTAGCATTGTGGAAGACTTTTCTTGACACAGGCGGGTCTTGCTAGTCACACTCGCCATCGCCATGGGCTGTGAGTCCAGTGCCTCCTCATAGAGCAATATAACACTATAGTCTGGAAAGACGGAAAGGTGCCAATCAATCAATTATGCTACCACAATTGACGTCACTGCACACTGGGCACTCCCATGTGTGCTCAGTCCACCGATACAGCAGCCATCCTAAGGTACCTTTTCTGACTATTATATTCAGAAGTTGGTTATAATGTCTCTTATTTTGATCCCGAAGACGACACCGACGTGTTTCACCAGGCTTCAATCTGAGTTCATACAATCGTCTTAGCGTCAGACAGCTATAAGTAAACACATCAACATCCGATATCTAACACGCCATGTGATTTAAATACATAGTGTTACACATCGGTGTAAACGTAATACCTCAGTAATACACAAAAAATACATCGACCAAGTTTCGAATGACTGAAAAAACGAATCAACAATTAACCTCACTGCTCTCGAGAAATTCCTTCGAGGGCTCTGTTCTCTTCCGCATGGACCAACAGAGAGTTCTCATTCCGCTGGTGTCGATTTAATATTCCTTATTTACTGAAGTGTATATCCGCGTGAAAACATAAATAAATACCACAACTGAGTTTTAAAGGGATGGGAAAATGAATAAATAACTGACATCAGTGCACTCGAGACATTCCCGCATGTGATCTGTCCCCTTCTTCAGTGTCTATCAACGAGTTTGCATTTTGCAGGTGCCAGTTTGAGACTCACAGTTTGTTGACATGTAAACCAGTCGGCGTCTGCGGCTTAGGCGTTGCGAAGGCGTTTCTTAATGCCGGGGGGCTGGGTTCGATCCCACCTGGGGGCCTTGCGCCTTGCGTTGGTTTCGACATTGGTATCGAGAAGCCGACTGTCCTGAAGGCAAATGCAAACTATTGGACGTAAACTTGCCTAGAAAAACCACAATAGTTTAAAAAATGCTGGGGTTGGTTCTGCAACGTCATGTAAAGGATACGCAGCTAACTTAAAAATCAGCTATACAGTCACCGTAAAACAGTTCTAGGAGGAAGAGGTAGGGATCGATCAGCACGACGGTGGATACAGGATATGGTCAGTGACGCACTAGGCTGGTTGGTTTATGAGACGAAACAGCTGGCAAGTGCAAGAGCGTTTTAGAATAGAAAGATTTCTGTTTTAAAGTCGACCACGTTCAGACTGCTGCTAGCAGTATTAGGTTATACATGTGATCTGATTTACTTGTGCCGATTGTATTAGCTGATTCGAGTATTTGTGTCAGGTTTGATCGGTTTGAGCTCCTAACGGGTGGGTTCCTATACGCCTAGGCAGCAAAGGACCTATTATGTATATAGTCGCCGAGCTGGTACAGACTAGTGGAATGGAATCTGGTACATGATTCTGAGTTGACCGAGTTGGTACATACCAGTGGCGTGGAATCTGGTACATGATTCTGAGTTGACCGAGTTGGTACAGACCAGTGGCATGGAATCTGGTACATGATTCTGAGTTGACCGAGTTGGTACATACCAATAGCAAGGGATCTGGTACATGATTCTGAGTTGACCGAGTTGATACAGACCAATGACGAGCTGTGCGTGCAAGGGCTGTAATCAATTGCTAATTTATTTTACTACCATTATCTTACTATTTATTATTACTGCTTACTATTTATTTAAAACAGGACACTCAGTTTACATCTCAAGCACAGATAAAAGAACGCTCGTTGTATGCTTACGCCACTCATGCATAAACTGTAATGTTTGAAAACTATCAGTTAATAGTACTGCGATGCTCCGAAGCGACTTGTGTGAAAATAGCACGTGACACTCACCTCTCCAGTGTATTCGCTACCTGCTAACGCTTACACACGTTAATCGATCAAAGCCTTGGCACTGTTACATTCGGTATGAAGCAAATGATCAAACGTCTGCTGATTTCATCAGATACGAAATACTTTTATGATCTCAGTGTGTCTCATTCAGTTGTTAAACTAACACTGTTAATGCCTATAAATGCACACCAAAGTTTTAAAGTGCACACTAGCATAGTTCCAAAGAGGATATATTAACACCGTACTTCCAATATGTCAAGATAACTTGCAACCTAATGTATGTTAATTTATGGTGTTCGGTTTAGAAAAACTGCATACATTAATGAATTCAGATCGCATGTGTATGCCAGCTAAAAACTTGTAAGTCCAATCAAAAGACGTTTTAGAAAAAAAAAATGCAAAATAAAATTTAAGAAACCAACTGTTCTAAAATTCTAAATTCAGGACATGCAGTGAGTAACGTTAAAAAAAACGTTATTGAATTTTTTTTTTGGGGTGCTAAGTTTCATGTGCAGTTTGTTTAAAGCCATGCATGACTACAGATCACCTGTCACATTTACTTGTGTCTGAAAACACATTCTTTTGAATAAAATTCCCCCCATCTTTATCTTGCCCCGGAAACAGTCTTTACAGTTGGTCGCAGGAGAACACACCTGAATGGAAAGCGATTACAAAAATATGTTCAATGGAATAGACTGGGGTTAGAGTGGCGTTACGCAAGACTTCACTCATTGAATAAGCTGGGATCGTCTCAAGGGGCAAAAACTGTACGTTGTTACTGAAGAATGATATTTATGTGACTGAACATTTGGTATGCGGAGTCGGTGTCTGTGGTTTAGGGTGCCGGTATTTTCATAGATTTGTGTGGAATAAAACCAAAAATATTCTGTTGTTTTGTTTCTGACAATAATAACACTTGAATGTATAATTTATTTATGTATGCTTCAACGTTTCTCAACAATTCTTCAATTCCCCTCCCCCCTCTTTTTTCCCCTCTGCGATGAGCTTCTTTAGCTTCTGCCTTCGAACCTTAGTAAGGTCGATAAGGATCTTGGACCTAGACTTATCGGCCTCTCTAGTGAATGAACTCCATGAGCACTACTGTTCGTAAACCCGTTACCTAAGCATAACACTCACAGCTCACGGTAGAAATGCTTGCCAATCTTCTTAGTCCTTTTGTACGTCCTATAACAATCTGGGCAGAACTCGAAATTTGTCGTATCCCCAGAATCTTAGTAGACACATCAGCATTTGCAGCAGCTTTTCTCTTGCTACGACCCGTGTGATGTCACTGACGACCAACCTTAGCATTCTTGCCGACCTGGGCAAGATCGTAGATCTCTATTGGCTTTCGAATGGTCTAACCGTCCTACTTAAGTTTCGGAGTGTTTTGGTGAGAGTATTGTTTGTTTGTTTGCGTAAGTATCCATAGACCATGCATTCTTAACACTGTGGCTCAGTACTATGGATACCGCAAACCCTCGGCCTTGATTCCATGATAAATACCGTAAATCTGGGAGAAATGTGGCTTTTCTGCCTACCACCGGGCGTAAATCCAGACTACAAGGAGTTCGTCACCTGGTCGTCGCCAAGCCAGGTTTAGCCAACTACGCTAGCGAGCCGGGCTTTGGCAAGAGTAAGATTTTGCAATTTTATTTATTTTGTGATTGGTCTTCTCGAGGGGTCACCTTGGTTTCTACCGCTGTTCGTGTGCATATTAAGTATTACTGGTATGCAGATAATGTCCAGTGGTAAGATTTGTCGAACGTGGATGACGTTCTAACATGGCTATTTGCTCTAACAGCTACAAGATACTATGGGCGGTACTGCTAAACAGGCTAAAACCACAGGTCAAAGATACACTGGGAGATTACCAAGTGGTTTCCGACAGAACAGATCAACAATAGTTCAAATGTTTATTTTACTGCAAGTAGAGGAGCAAAATTGGAAACATAGAAGAGACGTACATAATGTTTTTTGTGTGGATTTCAAACAGGCATATGACAGCGTTAATAGAAACAGGTTATGGAATGCTATGAAGGACTCGGTGGGCAGAAAAGGGGGAGGGGCGGAGGGAGAAAATGAAGTCAGTCACTAAGACCAAACTATGTATGAATGACTTTTTTCGTTCTTTTTTTTTCTTTCTTCTAGAGGGTCGAATTTATTGAACTGTGTTTTATCCCAAATGGCTCAGTCTCTCTCACCGGAGCAGCTAGCTGCCTGCCGAGAGCGTCGTACATAGCACGACCTCCGTAGTTCCAGTGACGATCCCCATAGATCTCCGTAAAAATTCATATAAACGCAGAAAGTCAGACCCTTTTAAGAAAACATATGGTTTAAAGCAACGTGATGCTATGTCCCCATATCTTTTCAACATGGCCCTGGGGAAAATTATAAGGAAGCTGAAAGAAGAGTGTACTATAGGAGAAACTACAAGAATACTTGGTTATGCATATGGC